GTGAATTCCAACCTTACCTTTAGTTAGAGACGAACTTAGATCAAACACGTAGCCAAAAGCATAAAAAAAAAGAATTCAGAATTGAATAAATTAAGGATAAGTAAAATGATGTTGAAGGTACAAGAGTACAAGTGTGAATGAATTTTGATATTAGAAAACCGGGCAGATTGACAAAAAACTGGTGGCTTGAGAGATTATAGATATTTTGTTCAACAGGTTAGTGCACTTATCCCGACTATAAATAAAGTCATATGATCAATTGGGCGAAGCACTTTTATGATCAGAGATGACTGTGCTCGGCTTCGCGCTACAGTATAGAATACTCCAGCCTTGTATAAAGGAACAAGGAAACGAGTCACGGAGTGTCTTGTATGTAAGAAGGAAAGTTACAGGCAAGGATTTCGATGTGGGAAAAACTCAGAAAATACTGGAGTGTGGTGTTGGTGCAAGAAAGCAGGGTAACGACGGCACCAGGAGAACGATAGGGTAGTGTTAGTCGAGAGAGTTTCTGACTTAAAACACACTTGAGTGCTTTTAGTGCCACGTTCTGACTGGTTTAACGGAGAGGCTCGATGCGATTAGGAGAGACTTAGCCTTACTATTTATTAAACCTCAGGTCTTTCCACCTTGTTCACTAATATGCCTTTCCGTTTAGTCATACCCTAAAGCAAACAAGGGAAAAATTGAAGGATAGATAACTTGAGTAAATGTAAGCAGATGGAGAAGTCTTGATACTTGAGCATGACTAGAAGTATAGCAAACCATTTCATGCATCATTAATACACCCTTAGGTACGTCTTAAAACCTAGGCATTCCAAAAGGAACAAACCGAAATCCCGAGAAATTTATATTTTGACGATCTACAACTAAACTGACCAGAAAAAACAAGCAAGGTGGCTGGAAAGTAGTCAATAATATACAGGAAAGTACATAAAAAAATTATGCTCAGATCAGATGCTGATAGGATACGATCTAAATATCACGAGAAATCTGTTACTAGTCTGAATATTCCTTTAAGAATTCATCATAATCTCGATTTAGGCCATCTTTCTTATCATGAAAAAGCAGCATTGAAAAGGATTGATTAAATCTTATCATAGAATAAAAAAAGGCCTAATTGGTTCTAAACGCGATAGTGCAAATTTATTTAAATGAGAGAGGTTATAATTGAAGGTTATAACGAATACCTGAAGTGCAGGTGTAAAATGTGAAATCTACAAAGGATTAATATGATGATGTTTAAGAACCCACTCTAAATGTGAATATATGAAAAGCATGGTGTTACTTTCATAGCAAAAGTAGCTATTCCGTGGAAAAATGGACAAGATTTAGACCTCTCACAACAAAGTTCAACTTGTTTTTCGGCTCTTATTACTAATTAAGCCAGATTTAGGGGCTGAATCATGAATAAATTATTTCTATAATTTAGTCAAGTCACTTGTATTGCCATAATAAGCAAAGCTAGATGAATAGAAGGCATTTACACTTAGTGATTGATAAGCTCCAGCAAGAAAAAAAGTCCACTAAATGATTTATTTAAGCCGTAAAAACTAGGGGTGTGGCCTGACAGTAAGGCATAATAGCATCATTTTTTGTGTGTCCTCAAGTTCCTAGCCTATCTAACACTGATTTTCGATCGCAACAAAGCATTTTCGCCATTTTCCTCAGATTCTAAGTCAAATCCCTGTCGCCAACGCCATTTTATGCTCATCTTACGGAGTCCAAACTTCTCAATAGCTGGCCTTAATATTAGCCAGATACAAAAGAATTCTAAATAAAAGGTTGATAGCACTTTAAATAAGTTAAATACAAGTTTCTTGTATGTAAGTAGAGTTACGAGACAACCAGTAAATCAGTATTGATTTTAACCACCCTGACAATCGTCTTCTGCCACCACTCGACCCTATAGATAAAGTCAAAAGGTAGCTCGCCCAGTATAGGATGAGTACAAAGATATTAAAGAAATAAAAGATTATAGTATGTTTAGTGCAAAAAAGGTTAAAAGAAGAACACGAATAAGTGACAGTGAAAAAATCTTTAATAAATGATGCAACAAATCCTAAGAGATTTCCTGGCTTATTAACGGCCCATTACTTATTAGATTAGCCTGCTAGATTAATCGAAGATTATACGGCAAGCTAGAAAGAGTAGATTAAACAACGGCGGTATTCAAATAGTTCGTCGAGTTTGACCATAGGATTAAGGCAATAAAAATATTTAGTAGTTGTTTGACCTTGTTTTCGCAACTTGGTCACAGTATTAGGAAGACTTAGAGGAACGCACCTAGTCCAGAGTCCATTATATGCATGATAATTTCCAAAGTCGGATCGTGGACGTGGTATGGTCCAACTTTGGAAATGATCATGCATAAAATGGACTCCAGACTAGGTGCGTTCCTCTAAGTCTTCCTACCAATGTGACCAAGTTGCAAAAACAAGGTTAAACAACTTCTAGACAACAAAAGGAGACTGCGACCATACAAAAGGCCACACCATCTTAGTCTTCATACTTTCGAAAATATTTAGTGTTATCGACGTTACGAAGCGCACACACTCCTCTTACGATGAGGATGCAATAAGGAGTGAGGAGACTTTCACTATTTTGTCATACCTCGTATGGATATAAAGGTTCTCGAAGCCAAAATTTGCTTGTCTTTAATTATTTGTAATTATCTGCTGAAAAGACGAGATAAAGAACTTGGCAGGTCTGGGAAGTCTACGTTAATTAAGCAAAACGACAACTAAAAAAACGAAGAACCCGAAAATTGTATTGAAAACTTTGTCCATAACTTATTAGAATTATGTTGTGTTTATATCATGTAGAGGAAAAATATGTGTTCAATTAATATTCTGCACAAAAATGGAGTAAAATCCCCCTCTTTTTTGGTGAGGTCAAAATATCCAAGGATTAAAATGCAATCAGACAATATGTGATAATAGACTAGAAAAATATATCACGAAAAGCAAAATAACTCAATAAATTAAATTGACTGGAACAGTTAAAGATGATGTTCGGAGGACAACGGACTGGTTACTGGCACTCTTCCTGGACTTGACCTCTTAACCCAGGGATCTTCATGCTGAGCCTGCTCCGAACGCATTTGGTTATCAGTATTCATTTGTATACCAGAGACTGAATTCGAATCATCAGTAGAGATGGCAATAGGCCATGGATAACGAATTGACGCTGGCCCTAATTCGAGTAGAGAATTCCGAGCTAAAGTATTCCCTGTTTTTGAATCAGTTGCTAACTCGGAGGTTTCTGTAGGTAGATGCACAGAGGAATAGCTGGGAAGATGGTCTACAGAATCTGCCAGTCCAGTTGGAATGGTACCCACTAATAGGGTTTGATTTCTATGCCCGTAAACTGAAGACTGTAGAGAAGAGCGTGAATCACAGCCCTTTGGGGGTGAAGATGAAACCCCCCCAGCAATATTAGATGGTGTAGATGAGAATGCAGACGTAGGACTGTCAACTGGGATAGAGGTATCCAAAGATGATATAAGATCCAAAAGATTGCCATCTAATGTGCTGGCATATTGATTTGATCGTTGCCATGGATGACCTAAAAGTTTGGTTAAACAATGTGCTACATCAGACAGCTGTTCATCCTGAACATCGAAGAAGTAAGTCCCTTCGAATGGACAAACTACCCGAGGCGCAAAGATGGAGGAAGAAGATTGAGCCTCCGTTTCCAAAGAAGGTGGATCGAGTAGTCTTGAACGCTGACATATTCCTTGAATCTGGGCAAAAAATTCCCAGGTTGGCTAGATTAGGATAAATACAGAGAAAGAAAGGGTTGTTTCATTGCTTTAAAAGCAAATTTTGCATGAAAATACCCAAAATTATTGAGAGCAGAAGGGATAAACATCAAAGAAGTCAGATAACGAGAAAAGTTGGGGGATTATTTGAATCTTGTTTAAGAAAGGAAGCATGGACTAATGGCGACGCATAAAAATAATGCTGTCTGAAGCTGAGCATTTGTACCGAAAAAATTCCAAGATATCCTATCTCGAAAAGTAAGCACTTTTACGAGTAATTATAAAGTAAAAGCACATACAAAGTCAGTGTTCAGTATTATTCGCTTATACAAAGAAAATCTGGGTTCGAAAGAATTCTTTCGCTTTATTTTAAGAGATGATTTGAGGCGGAAAATTGTGTAATAACCTCTTTTTGTTTATGAATACGAACTTAGCAATATTAAAAATAAGAGTCCTGCTTACCCTAGTTAGCTAAAGGTGATGAGGGTCCTAGTGCATTTTCTAAAAATGAGATGAATAAATCTCACAATTCTATAGCCCTGATTACCAAAATGTATTATCATATAAGGTATACTGCAGTTTTGAACTCAAATGAATCTCATCAACACCTCCAATAGGACTTGAACTAGGCTAGTGAAGCGTACAATTTCGATATGTTACCATTTCGCCACACTACTAAAAATGCCAGTTGATCACAGGACAGAAATAAATTTCAAGGCAAGCTAGGTCTCGGCCATTACACAATTTTATAAAACGATTGTCATAGAAGCAAACACATATCTGCCATTACAGTCTACCAGGCTACTAGTATTTTTATTAAGTAGGAAATCGAGACTCCCAGTTTATCTTGAATAGTACCAATATTAGGCAGTTCGAGCACATACGGATGCATAGAATAATAAATAAAAAGGAAAATAAACAATATAATATCAGTGCTGGTTTCGATGCTCCAGGCTCTATCCAACAGTTTATGTGAAGCTAAACAAAAATTATATTATGGTGAAGATGTCAGTGGTATGGCAGGCAGCTCACCACTGCTTCCCTAAGGTAGAGAGTTAATACGCCCCAAATGATGACTTGGGCAAAATACAGGCTTCCTTCATCAAATTAATAGTTACTTTTATATGATGCTACTGTATTAAGTGCGGATAGCAAAAAAATTAATCAGTTTGCCCTAACTTACATTCAAAACATACTAGCCCAGTTAACTAAAGAGAAATAATTATTAGTACAGATTGATAAACAATTTGAGACATTGAAAAATTTGCAGCCAAAAAGTGTTAAACCATGTAAATCTTGCGTACGTCTTTAGGATACAATTATAAATCATCGCAAAAAGTCCTTTTAGTTAAGCGGTCTAGATAATAAAGATAAGCCAAGTATCATGCACACAGATCATTGTCATTGCAGGCTCATTATAGTGTCGGATAACTCTTGAGCGGTTGAAATTTGGGCCTTCCTGGGGAATTTTTCGTGGATGAGAATTAATGGTTATTTACGAGATGTCGGCGATGCAACTACAGTGAATTATCTGGATTGACTGACAAAAAGGCTTTCGATAGCAGTGATAGCCGGTACTTTTATAGTAGCATTACTGTAAATATTTGTATAATATAGCACAACAATTAACTGAATTAGTGGCGAATTAAATAATTATTATAAGTCACAAAGCACTGTTTTTCAAGACACCCTGAGCTAATAACTCTGAGCTAATTGTAGAGAGTTAGTCGTGTTCTCAAAGATAAGTCAAAGAACGTAGTTTGTACTGCATACTCTATCATTGTTGCCATGTGGTCTTATAACATCAGACCGTTGATTAGGTACATTCCCAGACATTACAGTGAGAAGTGCCATTTTTAGCATCGAACTACAACTGGTCTCTCTCAAAACATAACTAAGGTTAGAAAATCAAACAAAAATCCACATCCTCTTAGTCTCCATATCAACCATAAAAAGTTTCTAGGTGGTTTAATTTTTAGATAAAATAAATTTGAATGTAAACAAAGACTAAATGAAATCCTTTGGAATAAATTTTTTTGAGACAAATTTTTTAGAGTAGTGCTTTTTGGGTAATATAATACTTGTCTAATTACCTACTTGTCTAATTACCTACTTGTCTAATTGCGATAAAACGATTTAT